GTGGGGGTGTGGGTGTGGGTGTGGGTGTGGGTGTGGGTGTGGGTGTGGGTGTGGGTGTGGGTGTGGGTGTGGGTGTGGGTGTGGGTGTGGGTGTGGGTGTGGGTGTGAGTGTGGATGTTGGCGCAGGTGTGTGAGTGTGGCATGGATGATGATATTCTGTAAATCTACACCCACATTCTAGACCCACACTCACATCTATACCCACACCCCACACCCAATGGTTACACGCTGTCAACTCAATTTTGAAAGGCGTTCCAACGGGCTTTCTAACTGATTTTAAAAGACTCGCATCTAGACGCGTTCGACTGAAACAAAAACTGCGTCCAAACGAATTCGATCTGTGTTTGGTATTTACATGGGAGTCACCACGGTTGTCATCAGCCCTTTCTTTATGATATCATAGTGATGTCATTCGGTCAATGATATCAGTTTTTCTTTGTTCGATCATGCAATATCCTTCTCTTATATCTCTGTCTCCGTCTCTGTCTCTCTCTCTCTCGAGTCTCGAGTATAAACAATGTACGAGAAAAGAAGAAGGGATGGGAGAGCAAACGAAGGAATGAACAGACAATCACAGTAGCTTGTCTCGGTTTTCACGCTCAAAAAACAAAAATTCGTTTTATTTATTTCTGTAGATACGCTACGATTCATTAGGTGCGCACTCCATTCGTCGTTCAAGAAAAAAAGATGTTGACAACTACTGGGATAACTTACATTGCTGACCAACAACGAAAATTTACAATTCCACAAGAGAATGTCACTTTTCAAACGCTTACTGGTCTCTTGTCGATCGAAGAAGAAAAGTATCGACGATGTCCCAATCTCGACATGGTTATTGGTCAGCTGGACTTTGATTTTTACTATGAACTTCTTCCTACTATCGCGCGATGGGCTTCAGATCACACACATCTATCGAATCCAATCATGCCTCTTCATGCAGGTACAACGGCTCGTGTCACTTATGCAGCTGCTCAAGTACGTTATATTCTTGCCAACGCCTTTTTTCTTAACACAACAAAAGGATATGGCAGTATCGATTTGACCATTTTGTACAATTCGCTCTTTGACAACATGGCCATGGAACGAATACGATGTTTAATCGAATATTTTCGTCGCTCATCACAGGAAAACGGCAATGATGATTATCGAGAAATATCAATCGAACGGTACTCGTATGCTGGTGAACAGCCAGATTGGGAAAAGCAAATGATTGCAATCAAGGCATCCAAAGTAAACGTTTTTACCAAAAGAATGGAAGATGCTAAAGAAGCACAAGGCTTTGTTGACTTTGCCAACAGACAAATTCACATCCATTTGATCTTCCCATCGGCCACTCAAGAAGAAATTCTATGTGAATAATTGAAATAATTCTTCGTAAGTTTTTCTTTTTTTCTTTTCTAGTCAGCTGTTGTCCCGAAGCATTTTTGGCCATTTTGGTTTGTGAAACATTACAACCCGATGAAGTGGTCATTCTGCGTGGATGCAAACGGTTCGTTGACTATTGTGGCTTTAGTGACTCGTTTCAATTTGTTGGCCCGTATTCGAATCCAAATCCAGGTTGTATTCAAGATATTCTCGTCATGGATGCGTGCCCTGAAGACTACTACACGCGACAAAATATAGACCACGATTTAAACAAAGCATGGGGTGCCTTTGGTAAATCCAATGATCAAATCATTGTCACTGGCAAGTGGGGCTGTGGTGCATTCGGTGGAGATCCTGTATTTAAATTTTTGCAACAACTATGCGCCGCAAGCATACATGTTGATAAGGTCAAACGATTAGACTATTCTGTTTATGGCGACAATGAACTAGCGGCTATGTTAAAAGATCTAGCACAGCAATTGGAAAGGAAGAGAAAGACAGTGGCTGACGTGTATCAAATGATGCTCAAATACGGTGAGATCAGCACGCTGTGCTCCTCAGTACCGAACTTTAGTGACTATGTAAATGGATGGCTAAATGTCGACTAGTTAGGTATGATTTTCATACTGTTAATTTTCGATATTTTGTATGATTCGAAATATTGGTGTCATCTTTCTTGACATGTCTGCTCGCTTCGGTCGTCAATCATTCATTTTATGTTTATAAAGAATCAAAAACACTCGTCCAACTAGAAAAGCATGCTACTACTAGTAGAGATGTACATGAAAAGTAGTTCTCGATCTCCTGAAAGTGATCACTTTTGGAAAACACATTATTTAAAAATTGTAGTGTCCCAAAAATTTGCAACATATTATTTTTGGTAATTTATACAGGATTAGACAGTTCTCTGACTGACGAGATAACCTCCCGAGGTGCTAAAAAGCTTTTGAGCTCAAATTTTGTTCACAAATAGGGGATGTATAGACTAGAAAAATCCTAAAATGATATTGGCGCAAGTTGTGAGTTGGCCGAGATATTGACTCTTTACTATAATTCTCCCGTAGAACCCATGTTTTCAGTAAAATTCAAGCTTCGAATTTTGAGGTTGTGGGTGTGGGTGGGTGTGTGGGTGTGGGTATGAGAGCGTGGGTGTGGGGTGTGGGTGTAGCTAAATAGAACCTTGTATCTACATCCACACCCACACCCACACCCTTAAATATAAATCTTTTTTCTTTAGTTTGATTATTGTATCGTGTGTTGATTTTGCATATGCCAAATTCACTATGTAAAAGCATTGTTGTTAGTCGATCTTCAAATTTTTTTCGGAAATCAAACAATAACATAAATAATGTTTGATTGTTATTAGCACGATGGATACGATCTAATGCAATTCCCATATGTCGTATTCTACTTTTGATTAATTTAGATAGTTTATGAATAAATTTCATAACATTCCCTTCTTTTATTTGTCTTGATAACATAAAACATATTGATCCTTTTCATTTTTCTCAATATTACATTCATATTGTACACTATTAATTCTACAGAACAGTATTTCATTTGCTTCTAATAATCCCATTTCAACGAAAGCATGAATCGTTGGATATCCATAAGCATCATTGTTCGCATTAATGACATTAATATATTTTATTAATGAATATGGATCATGTTCCATTTCTTTGTTAGAAGCGTGAGTTGAGTTTTAATATAAATTATATCTAGCAAATGAAATTTACATTAGAATATGTTATGCTGTATAATTCATAGTTCACTAGCAAGAAATATCTTTTCGTTTATAAAATGTTTTTTTTATATTGTTTTATAATAAAACAAAAGACTAATGAAATGTTCGATTCAAAGTGAAAAATAAAGAAGTAAAAACGATGAAAATTTTGGATGACAAGTAGAAAAAACATCATCAAATTTTCAATGATTTGAAAACTGTTACAATTAAGATAATTTCTTTTACATTAAACTTTCACGAGAAAATAATTTTCATTATTTATCATGTTATGCTATCCTGTAAGAAAAGCTCGAAGTGAAGAGAAAGTATGCATATGTTACTGAATTCATTTCATCATCGATGATCATTGTTAACATCAGAGAGAACAAAACAAATAATATAATCAATAGGTTGGAATAACGCTTTAGTTGGATGTGGGTGTGGGTGGGTGTGGGGTGTGTTTATAATAGAATAATTCAAAGCAGCATACGACGCGTTTAGACTGTTGCTTAGGCAGTCTTCATCAGGTATGTTTTTGTTTAGAAGAATATTCTAAGCTACTGGCGACTATCATTTACACCTTCCTTAAGGGTTGTCATCTGGTAAATTTAGAATGTATATTATACTGCATAGATATATATCAAAATCTCAAAGTTCAAATGAAAGTTATAAAAGTCGAAACTCTTAATAGCAATGTAATGCTGAGATATAGAGTATATATATAGTTGCAGTGATTCTAATAAATGATCTGTTTAGAAGAATATTCTAAGCTACTTACGGCGATCGTTTCGACTCGCAGTGAAGATGTATTTTATCTAGAATAACAGTTATTATTATTTATTGGAAAGATGATAGTGGAATAGTAGATTCTTATTGTTTATTAGTGAATATGTGGAGAAAATGGATGGGATTTTACATAGTCTAGTTTATTTTAAGGAAGATGAGAATTGTATGAGTTTTATGATGATTATGTTGTAGAAATATCGTGCAAGTAGCTGTTGTTCATGCTCCTTCCATTTTCGTTAAAATGTCTCGGGGAGGTTTCTTTTGAATGAAGAAACTTTCCAAAGTACGATTAGTGTTGGTCACCATGGTTACTTTTATGGTTTGAAGCGGTGAGCCAGGAAATGCGTAATAGGTTTTCCACCATTTGTAAAATTGTTTTGGAAAGTTGCTGGTAAAATTAGTATCAAATATATAGCGTGGATACATCAATTCTTGGTTCCATATTTTTGGTTGCAATATCAATGGTTTTTCAATTGGATTTTGTATCATGGTGTTAAGTTTCTTCTCACGACGTGTAGGTTGATGTAACAAAGTATGATGTAAATGATGGTAAACATTTTCGTCCAGTTCAATTAATACAGGCATTGCATTGCTTAAACGAAAGAATCGGTTGAATCGTTTGGATATAAAGTTTGATGGATATTTGTTCAACAGTAATGACATGTCAATTCGAATACGTTCTGAGTTGAAATCATCGACATTTGAACAGATTCGGGCAGAACGTAGTAATGCTTCATATGGAATATTTCGATGAATATGATGTGGATGATCAGATGTATATGGTAAAATGTAAGGTTCAGTGGTTGGTTTATGATAAATAGAAGTTCTTAATTGTCCATTTTCATTTGTGATAGTGAAATCAAGAAAATGAACAGATGTACTTATAGTAGATTGAATTTTTATATTGATATCTTTGTTTTCCGCTTCTTCAAGTTTAACATTGATTTCTTCGGTGGTTTGATTTGTTGTCATAAATATATCATCTATATATCTAGACGAAAGATGAGTATTCGAATTCAAGTTCTTTTATATCAAAAATATTTTATTAACCTTCCATAAATTCCATCATGTATTTCTTGATGTTGAATTAAATCTTGTTCCCAGTCAAACATATATATATATATTAGCTAAAACTTGTGTAAATGCGGAACCCAATTCTCCACCACGAATTTGTTTTTAGTATTTATTATTGTATGCAAAACAATTGGTATCCAAAGTTAAACGAGCCATTTTCATAATATGATCAATTGTGAATGTTCCAATCTTTCCTTTTTTGGAATTTTTACTACAAAATCGGCCTAATGCTTCCAATGCACCTATTCGTGGTATCATTGTATAAAGATTTTCAACATCGGTAGTAATAAATTTTGTTGTTGATGTAAGATATCCATCTACAGCATGTTTTTCTAATTTTCGAATGACATCGATATTATTAATGAATGTATATTTATGGGCAACAGTTAAATAAATAGGTGCTAAAAGATCATTCAAAAATTTCGATGCCAATGTTGCTGGTGCATGTATAGATGCAACTATAGGTCGTAGTGGTGTTCCGGGCTAAAGAAAAAGGAAAAGAAAACAAATTATAGTATCTTGATTGAAATAAATTTACTTTATGTGGTTTAGATAGACCATGATAATGACCTACTTCTAAACTGTCCGATTTTTGAGACAATCGATCGGCTTGCATTTGAATTAGACCCTTTTTCGCTATAAGAAAATTGAGTAAGCTTTGTACAGCACTTGAATTATCTGCCAGAGGACATCGACCATTTGTAATTTCCTCGTAAGCTTCCGTTCTTAGCATATAATCTTCAGCTTTACGCTCAAAATCAACCGCTTTACCAATATAGAATACTTTATTTTTATCTGTTCGACGTACAACAATATCTGAGCGTCGACATATAAGACGCTGAATACTTCGAACAATTTTATATCCATGTTGAGCACGTCTTCCTAATTTTTTTGACAATTTTTGAAATTGACAATTATTTAAAATACACTCTAATGCTGAAAATGCTTGTGTTGCGTGTTCATCGTCGATTGGTACTCGATGGTCTTTTAAACAACCTTTTACAATTGAAGATATTTTCTGATATTGTTCAGTAATAATTTCATCGATAGATTGACGAGAGAATCAACTTTGACATGGTATAATATAGTTGAAACCATTAATAAGCATTGAAATTTGTGCTGGTGTTACTTTTAGATTGACTTCAATAAATGGCGTTGAAGCAGTTATGGTAGTGTAAATTGACATACTGCTCCGACGACTACGAAACTGCTTTATTCGTTTGATGCCGTCGGAGCTTCGTCGAAAAAAGTATGCAATTTATTTATTAAATATATTTCATGACGTTTTGCATAGCTTTTTGACGATTTTCAATAGCTTGAATCATTAATTCATGACATGATTGTGATAGTTTCTTTTGTAGATCATTAAGTATTTGTTGATGACCACGTATTACGTTCTGTATCGTATCAAGATTTAAAGTCATCAAATCCAATTTATATTGTGTAATTGTTTTTGAATAACTCGTTACTAAACCAGCACGTCGATCAATATCAAGAGCTTTATTTGAAAGCATAGGCTCGATATAACCCAAAGATTTGTCAATCATTTTATCGTATGTAGTTGGTAGTCGTCGGAGGAAAATTCGTTTACGAAGAATTTCTTCTTGTTCTTTTGTTTTCAATATATTGAATGTTGTTTGCCATATCTGTTTCGCTATACGTATCTGAAATTTAGAAGACTATAAAAGTTTATATGTCTAATATTTCTATGTAACAAACCTGTTCTTCATTTGGTTGTAACTCATAAAATTTCGTAATTAAATCACGATCATTAGAATTTAATGTTAACATCTTCCTTTTATAATTAAACTCTTGTCTTAATCGTTGTTCAGCATTTTTAACACTCTCATTAATAGCACTGGATAAAACAGACGGATCAATATATGGTTGCCATTGTTGTACATTTTGTTCTAAATTTGTTAGATACCAGTGTAATTTATTCGCTGTATGTTGTAATTGTTGTTGTTACGGCTTCTTTCTCTCATATTATTAAACTGAGTTATCAGCGAGATAGCAACGTGATGATGTGACAACAGAACGAAACAAAAGAATAACCTCCCTTCGCATGGAATCGAACCATGCACCTCCTGCTTACTGGGCAGACGTATTAACCACTTTACTAGAAAGGAGTGTGTCTTATTCTGTTTGTTTCGTCTTATGAACTGAAGGGGAACACTTCAGTTCATAACACCTCCCCCCTACACGGGGAACACGTGTATTGCCACAAGAGAGAGAGCTGTATGTTGCTTCCCGGCTAGTGCACCATTGTTACGGCTTCTTTCTCTCATATTATTAAACTGAGTTATCAGCGAGATAGCAACGTGATGATATGACAACAGAACGAAACAAAAGAATAACCTCCCTTCGCATGGAATCGAACCATGCACCTCCTGCTTACCGGGCAGACGTATTCACCACTTTACTAGAAAGGAGTGTGTCTTATTCTGTTTGTTTCGTCTTATGAACTGAAGGGGAACACTTCAGTTCATAACAGTTGTGTTATTGTTTTCTGTCGTTGTTCAATGATATCCTTAGGAAAACCATATGAACGACATGTATGATGCTGTTTAGCAAAAGATTTTGATACTCGTGGTGCCCATACACGTTCTTTCATACAAAGATCAAAATAAACTTGCCATAATTGGCGTTGAAAATCGATATAATATAAGTTATTAGCCGCTTCAGTCATTTGACGAACGAATTGAAGTTTTTCATTGCTATTTAAACATTGAATGATTTTATCACCATCTTCAACTGCATTCGATAACATTTGTTTAAAAATATTATCAGAAACTCTTAAGTAATGTGGTTTAAATCGTTGTACATAATTGGTTGATATTAAATCATTATTATCTTCTTGCTTGTTGTTTTCTTGTTGTTGTTGTTACTGATCGTTAATATCGCCATTAACTAAAATTAATACTTCATTATCTGACTGTTGATTTTCTATCGTTGACTTAGTCTTTTTAGGATTGATTTGTGATATTGATAATTCACTGAACGATTGACGATATGTATGTCATCTTTATTTGCTTCTTGACGTTTACGTTTATTTTCTAATCCTAGTCTATGTTGACTGTTTTTTGTGTCTTCCTGAATAGAATAGAAAATTACACGTAGAAAAAGAATGCCTTGTGTTTTCAGAAACAATTATTATACTTGAATCTGTTGTTCTTGTCTATCTTGTTCCGGGTTGTCATCAGTATCATCTATCACAATTAAGATATCTTGTTGTCTATGATTTGCAGGATTATTATTTTGTTTCATTTGTTGACGACGTAATTTTCGTCGTTGATGCTGTTGTTTTCGAATACCATGGCACTTTTTCTTCTTTTGCTGCTTCTTATTGTTCTCCAAGTTTTGCTGTTGTCCAGTCAAAACTTGTGTTGGTGATAGTAATTCATACCATTGACCTTGAGCATCTTGTGATAAGCCATTATGACGAAGAATATTACTAACATCGTTGCTACATCTATATAAACAAACTCATATGTTATAAACATTATAGCTGTTGTGTTTCAATGTCGGACATATCAAAGACATAATGAATTGGATACGATCGACGAGTTCGAGTAGGATAATCACTTGCTGCTTCTCTTAGTTCCACTCGTAAGAGATTATTGAGTATTTCTTCCCGATGATTACTATTGTTATTTACAGTTCCATTATTCGTCGTACCATTTTGTGCTACAACTGTTGTTTCTGTATTTTGTTGGATCTAAAAACAAGGGTACTATTATAGTTTAATCAGTTTCATATATATTCTATCATCTCGGTTACATACGTGGTATATTTGGTAATAATGGATCACCATAATTTTGTTTATTATTTTTTGTTGGAAAGCTTGGTAAAATTGACAGTCGACGATGAAGATTTCGAAATCGTTCTTTCGTCGCATTTGATGTTGATGCATTTTGTAAGACAACTGACACAATCGATATATCCTTGACATCTATACTGCATGTGCATAAATCAATCACTTCTGTCGTTTCGTTTATATCAACATCAATTGTTTGTGTTTCCTATATAGTGAATAATCAATAAGAATCATTTCAATTGCGAAAGCATATTTACCAAATTTAATATTCTTGGCCGATTCAATCTCACGAATGATTTATCATCTTCATTCTTTTCTTTAGTGTTCATCATGAAAAGTAAGAATAAACTTGTTAATAGACAAGTTTTCTCATACTCATCTAAAAAACATAACATATTTCTACAGTCATTCTATTTCAACCATATATACAAACACACATAACACAAAAATAACAACCAAAAAGAAAAATATACACAAAACTTTATACAAGATAAATTAAGATTCCCAGTCATATGATTCATAAGGATCACATGGAAATGGAGATGTTGATATTGAACTTGTGAAAATTTCATGAGAACTATAAAGCTCATTATCATCATCATAATTCTCATCGTCTTTGCTATTAAACTGCTGAGATAATGCCAATGAATATGATTCATCTGTACTATTATCGTCACTATAACGGTCTTTTGATGAACAACTTTCTTCAATATCACTAAAACTAGTGAAAGGATGTATATGAAAATAATTCGTATAAATTGTTCAAGAACTTACTTTTCGACATTTGAAGAAATAGATATTTCTTCTAAATGTAAATTGCGATACGGCGATTCGGTGTCATCTTTATTGTCTTTAAGAATGTGGTCCATACAAGTTTTATTTTCACAATCTATACAGCTACGTTGTCGATAACCGGGTGCAGGACGATTTGGATCACTTCCCAAGTGAGCAAAAAATGACGAAAGACGGGGTCCATGACTAGTCCGAATTGTCCGCAACACCCGTCAAGTCTAGTCTGAAACGTCTTGCACACTCGTCATGACTAGTCACCTTTTGGAGAAATGTCTTCAAACACGTCTGGACTAGTCTAGAAAGTCCTTGAACCCAGTCATGTCTAGTCCGTTTTGTCCTTTGAACCCGTCCAGACTAGTCCGAAAACTAGAAAAAGAAGGTGACAGATAGGTTCGAACACCCAACCCGACAGTATTCAAAACCGGACGGGCATCCTGACCGAAGACTAGGACACTGAGATAGATTGACGTCAGTTTATACAGTCTAAGATACAAAATTGACTCCCGTCCATCCACTAGACAATCAGAAACCAGTCGATGTCACACGACTTTGACTAGTCTGAAACGTCTTCCATAGGATCAGGACTAGTCTGAAGCGTCGTCTGCGCTCGTCACGACTAGTCCTTTTTTAAAGAGTATGTCACCAGTTCTAGTCAGACTAGTCTGGAAACTCTAAACAACCCACTTTTTTTGGACCAAATATATCTTGTTAATTCGTTTAAACTGATCAATAATGAAAGTAAGAATGCAAGTAGAAAAACTTTTCAATATCTATATCGTTTGTTAAAAATAATCAATGGATAATATCAAATGCATTTAGGCCATGAATTACATAGTAGGATAACAATCGTTTTATTGCCTGTCTTGTATTCATATCTTCCTGGATCGAGGCTCAAAATTGATCTGTTATATTATGATTACGGTAATTAATAAGACGCATTTTTTCATATTAAAACTATGTCGATCGTCAAGATATTATAAATATTTTTCAAGGTAGAATGACAATCAGAGAGTCTGCTATAATCAACAATGAGGTCAAAGATAGATAGTACACTTTCTGCATTCCTGTTTTCATATATCTTATTATATTTTGTATTTTCATAAGTTGAAAATGTAAGAGCATATCGAAATCAACAAAAAAAAGTAGGAGTAACGAGAATACTTCCTATTCCCAAAATTTACACATTCCTGCATCGCCTTCTGACATGCAATCCCTTACCATCAATTCCGGAAAAGCAAAAACGACCCTTTCCCTCAAAAAAATGCAACAACCCGGAATTCCGGAATTTCTGCATATGCGGAATCACTACGACACGCAGGAATTCTGGGTCATTGCTGCCTATTCCGGAATTTGTGCACAACCGTAATCATTGGGATATGCAGGAATTCCGGGTCATTCCTGCCTATTCCGGGTCATTCCTGGTTATTCCGGGTAATTCCTGCCTATTCCGGGTCATTCCTGCTTATTCCGGGTAATTCCTGCCTATTCCGGAATTACAAACATGTCATGGATGGCAAAATGATCACTTCTCGAGCTTCAAGAAATGCAAAGCGGAATTCCGGAATTTGTGCACAACCGTAATCATTGGGATATGCAGGAATTCCGGGTCATTCCTGCTTATTCCGCAAATACAAACATGCCATGGATGGCTAAATGATCACTTCTCGAGCTTCAAGAAATGCAAAGCGGAATTCCGGAATATGTGCACAACCGTAATCATTGGGATATGCAGGAATTCCGGGTCATTCCGGGCTATTCCGGGTCATTCCTGCCTATTCCGGGTCTTTCCTGCTTATTCCGAGTCATTCCTGCCTATTCCGGGTCTTTCCTGCTTATTCCGGGTCATTCCTGCCTATTCCGGAATTACAAACATGTCAAGGATGGCTAAATGATCACTTCTCGAGCTTCAAGAAATGCAAAGCGGAATTCCGGAATTTGTGCACAACGGTAATCATTGGGATATGCAGGAATTCCGGGTCATTCCTGGTTATTCCGGGTAATTCCTGCCTATTCCGGAATTACAAACATGTCATGGATGGCTAAATGATCACTTCTCGAGCTTCAAGAAATGCAAAGCGGAATTCCGGGTCTTTCCTGCTTATTCCGGGTCATTCCTGCCTATTCCGGGTCTTTCCTGCTTATTCCGAAATTACAAACATGTCAAGGATGGCAAAATGATCACTTCTCGAGCTTCAAGAAATGCAAAGCGGAATTCCGGAATATGTGCACAACCGTAATCATTGGGATATGCAGGAATTCCGGGTCATTCCGGGCTATTCCGGGTCATTCCTGC